GAGGGGGCCCGGCCAGCAGGAATCACCAGGACCTGTCTCCCTCCCAGGGTCTGGAGGGTGTGGGACAGCACCTTGTTGAGGACTGCTTACATTCTCCAGTGACAGGGAACTCACCCAGGCACCATGGGTGGCCACTGTAAGGACTGATGGACCCAGGCTGATGGGCCCCCCCATCCCTCACTGAGCTTTCTCCGCAGCCTTCAACCTAAGTCCACTCGTTCGCTGTCAGCAGGGAACGAGAACCCGTCCCACTCTCCACAACAGCCCTTTCTCGTCCACAAGTGACAAGCAAGGCTCCCCTGTTTGCTGGCCTCAGAACACGGCCCCCCGGCCCCCACCTTCTGGTCCCCTGCTTCCCAGCAGGACCAGCCTCTGCTGAGTTCTGTGGGAGCCACGTCCAGGAATACAGGTATGGGTCCAGGAAGGGAAGCCAGGGGCTCCCACAGACTTGGGTTCAAACCCCCTCTGCGGTGTCTCCCTCCTGTCCTCAGCATCTTCACCTGAGGACGGGGCCAATGGTGGCGACCTCAGGGGTCTGGGGGAGGGGCCCAACCTGGGCCTCGGGGTCCCCCTGCTGTTCACGCCTCCTCCCCGGCCCACCAGCGATGCTGCCCAGCCACCGGCATGTTCAGAGTCTGGGGACAAGGAGGGCGACCGTCTCTATCAGCTTTGGCTACACTTCACTCAGACCAGCACGATCCACCCCGAGCCCGGCCCCTGCTGGGTTGCCCCTCAGCTCACAAACCTTCAATGGCTCCCACTGTCCATTAAAGAAAGACCCAGCTCCTCTGCCCAGCAGGAAACCCCACCCACACATATACCCGGGGCACCTGCCATTGCTTCCCTGGCATATAGTAGGCGCTCAATAAAGGCTTGCTGAGTGTGTGATGAGGATAACGCCCAACACTTATTGAGCACACATCGAGGGCCGGGGCTGGCCCTTTACAAATACGAAAGCCTCTGCTGCTCACAGCAACCCTACGAGGGGGTCTGGGTCTTACCTCCTTTTACAGAGGAGGCAGCTGAGGCTGAGTGCTGAGGCCACGAACCTGCCGGCAACAGTCAGGAGGCCACAGAGCTGGGGTGTGAACCCTCTAGCCCACAGCCCTCCTCCATACCATCCTGCTCGGCTGCCCCTTCGAATGAGTGAGTGAATGAATCAATCCATCGACTAATCAATCACTCAGGCAATCCAGGAGCAGACGTACTCTACACCCAGTTAACAACCAAGGGAGACACGGCACCCCAGCCGCCAGGCATCTGGCGGCCATGGGCGCATCACTACTGATGCCACCACCTCTGCTACCAGTGATGCCACTACGGCTCTCTCTTAGTAGCACTCGCGATGTGCCAGGCCCAGTTCTAAGCACTTCACACCCATTCACTCGAATCATTCCCACAACAGCTCTTTGAGGTGGGAATTATCCCCATTTCAGAAGTGGGGAAACTGAGGCACAGAGAGGACAAGCCACTTGCCCAAGATCACACAGCTAGGAAGTGGCAGAACCTGGATTCGAACCTGGGTGTCTTGGGCCCACAATCCCCACCCTGGCTGTTTCTGCACACGTTATTCACGAGAGCACCTTGAATGCCCCTGAGAAGAAAACGGGGTCAGTGGCTTTAAAATAAAATAATGATGATCCCGATACTACTCCCAGTAGTTAGAGCAGCTAACCCCCACGGAGCGCCCCCCTCTGGCAGGCACTCAGTCCTTTATACGTGGTAACTCATTCGCTCTTCCCCTGAGTTCTCGGGGTAAAGGCTATCATTCTCCCGCTTCACAGATGAGGAAACTGAGGCTCACGGGGTAAAGCCGTTGCCCGAGGTCACACAGGTGCCAAGTCATGAAGCTGGCGCTTGACCCCACTTTCGCCCTGGAGCCCAAGCTGCACCATCCACCTGGCTGGAATCTCTGTTTCCCCAACCCACCCTCTCAAGTTTTGGGGCCCCCAGGGGCGCAGCAGGGCCGTGCCCCAAGGAAACCTGGAAAGTGAGGTGGGGGCCAGCAGGCTGTGAGAGGAGATACCTGTAACCCAACAGCCTGGGAGAAGCGGGTGGGTGTGTGGGCACCGGCTGGGCTGGGCTGGGCTGAGCAGGGAATGGGGGGAGGGGAGAGGCAGGGAGGACAGGTCAGAGGGAGAAGGGGATGAAGCAGGAAGATCCCTCTGTCCCTGGGGCGATGCTCAGGGCCGCACTCCCAGCCCAGTTAATCCTGAGTTGGTGTGTAGAGGCCGACATCCCGCCCCCATCCAACCACCACCACGGCCAGCACCACCATCACAGAGCTGGATCCTCTCTGCGCTGCGGGATCTCAGCAAGCGATACGGACAGGCGCTCCTTGGCCTTGGCCCTCACTGAGCCTTCCACCCTGCCAAAACCAGAGTCCTGAAAGCTCTAGAAAAAAGCAGAGCTCCCTGTGTTTCAGGGGGCCCTGCCCGAAGCTCAAGGAGCACCGGGAACCAACTGCACAGCAGGTGGGGAAGGGGCAAGAGGCACAGCCTAACCAGACACCACGGGGAACGGGCACAGGCAGGGGCCTGGCTGAAGGAAACCTGATGGTCAGCCTCAGCCCTGACCACAGGGCCATGGCACAGCGTCCCCCCTCTGGCCTAGGATGCTTGGGGTGGGGGTGGGGAGTTGGGGAGCGGTGCCCCTAAATTCTGCACAGTGCTCAAGGAGCGTTCAAAGAGGGTGATCCTGTCCCTGGCCCACCTGCCATGCCGTGTGACCTAAGCAGCCTGCTCGTCCTCTCTGGACCAAGGCAGACTCCATGGTGGAGCACCTCAGCCTCCCAGGACAGGGTGCACATACTTTAAACCCAGCACAAGCAGCCCAATCAGAGGGAACGGGGAAGGTGGAGAGCTGTGCGTCCCCCTCTTGTACCTTCATATCTACAAGGAAATATGCAGCCTGCCGATTAGAAGCATGCATCCTCAGGTCATGTAGTTGTGAGTTCAAACCCCAAGTCAGCTGTTTATGAGCCTGGCTGAGCCTCAGTTTCCCCAGATCTGAAATGGTGACAATGCTTGGCATGTCCCAGGTGTGCCCAAAAGGGGGAAGGGAGGGGGATGGAGGGAGGGAGGGAGGGAGGGGGAGAGAGAGAGAGAGAAAGAGAGAAACAGAGAGAGAAAGAAGGAGGGAAGGAAGGGGGGGAGGGAGGGAGAGAAAAGGAAAGGAAAGGAAAGGAAAGGAAAGAAAGAAAACAAGCCACCCCCAAACGGCCCTCGCTTCCCAGTAACAGCTGCGGAGGAAGCAGCCTCTCCGTGGAGACCATTCACGGGCTCAGTGAGGCGAGCCTGCCCCGTCTGTGCTCCTGGAGGAGGGAAGGTCCGTGCCTCTTCTCGATTCCCCTGGAGGCCAGGGCTGGGCCGGCTGCTCCCTGACCTGTCCACTCCTCCCCCGGGGTGGCCCTGAGACTGTGAGTTCAAATGGAGTGCGGGAGATGCTGACTTAGGGTTCCTCTGCCTCGGGGTCTTCATTCCAATGTGCTGACAGCCCTGAGTCCCTGGGGAGTCAGTGCCTGGCCCACCGAGCTCCTTCCTCCCTGCCCTGAGCCCTCACAGGCACTACGGGCCCTCAGAGGTGTGTGACCGAGGAGTGCTGGGGGGTGGAGGTGGGGAGGCAGAGGTGGGCCTGCGCATCGCAGTACCCAGGAGGGATGCTGACGGGAGGGATCCACCCCTTCAGCATTTCCGGGGGGCCACGGAGCGGTGGTCTCGAGGGGCTGAGACCTGGGCACAAGAGCTGGCGTCAGACCCCTCCCCACCCAGGGCTCCCAGGCTGCAGGTCTGGCCCACAGGTCTGGCTGGGGCGCACAGGGCAGGGGCGGGGGCGAGTGGGGAGGCTCACCATCTTCAGCTTGTGCTGCTGCAGGATCTCATCCAGGTTCTGCCTCTTCTTGTAGTTAAAGTAGAAGTTCTTACACTGGGACACCGTCTTGGAGCCCACCATCCGCGCGATGGCCGACCAGTTCCGGCCGTGCTCCAGGAGACCTGTGCCGGGGAGGGCGGCAGCTGAGGGGCAGCAGCGGGCTGGACAGGCAGCGGGGGCCCGCGCCCGCAGCCTGGAGGGCAGACAGAGCCCTGGGCGAACGCAGCCCTGATCCCGGGGCTCAGGCTCACTGCACGGGTCCAAGGTTCCCGGAAACAGATGGCTGGGGTGGGGGACACCAGAAGGGTGTGGGAGGCCTGGGCTCCCCGGGGCTGCACGGGACAGCCTGGGCTCTAGGAACTGGAGGGGCAGGTGGGTGCAGCCCTGGGTGTACCCCTGCTGAGGCCACTTTGTCAAGGGTTCCGGGGGCTGAGGGCTGAGGTCTGGGGCGCAGACCCCGCCCGGGGCCCCACCTCTCCTGCTCCCCTGGCTGTCTTGGCCCCGCACTGACACTCGCTCGCAGCTGCAGACGAGGCCTCGGGAGACGGTCTGTTTTCCGGCCGCACCAGGCCAGAGAAAGGAAGGAACGTGTGAGCAGGGCTGGGAGGGTGGAGTCCGGCTTGGGGTGAGCTGGCCCGGGATCCTCCGCGCCCAGGTTAACTGGGGCACACCCAGAACCCAGAGCTCCCCGTGGACGCCTAAAGGCCCACCCTGGACTCAGGGCCCACCAGGCGTGGTTCAGGGTCTGGGAGTGGACTTGCCCCCCCAGATCACAACCCCCCCCATCTCCATGAGCTTCTCACACAGCCTCACAGACTCCTGATGTGGGGAGAAACGCCCAGGAATTGGTAGACCCCATCCCAAGTTCACCTAGGGCAGAGAAAGTTCCCTCCATCCCCACAAACTCAGGCCAGAGCTGCACCTCCCAGTCCTCTTCCGTTCTCAATGCCATAGACACCAGGCTCTGCAGAAACACCGTTCCCCCAGCCCCCCTGGAAGCCAGCCCCGAGTCTCAGCCCGTCTGCCCGCAGCGCTCCCAGCACACGCCTCGCACAGGCCAGCGCCTCTGCGTTTTTATTCCTTGCATCTCCAGGCAGCGCGCCTTGTGTGGCCAAGTCAGCCCGAGCAGGTAGGGCCTGCCGCCTTCCTGACGGCTGCAGGAGGGGCAGATGGGAGGCTCCGGCCTCCGGGGACTGCGGGGCAGGACTGGGCCCCCAGAGGGCAGCAGGCGTGAAGCCTGAGTCACGGTACTGGGAACACAGCGGCCTCTGAGCCCCAGAGCTAGACTCATAAGGACTAGCGAAAGATTTCCCATAAAGAAGTTTGAGGCTGTTTTCCTTGAATCGAATCAAGCTGCAAGCAGGGAGGGCTACAACTGATGTTTTTCAGGGGTGCGGGAGCGTAAGGGGCAGACAGTCTGTGTGTCGGTATTTTCTTTCTTTCATCCATCCATCCATCCATCCATCCATCCATCCATCCATCCATTCATCCATTCATTCATTCAAACATGTGCCGGCGGCTTGCTACATACAAGGCCCGCACAGAAATAAGACAGCAGCAAAAACAACATCAACCAACCAGCAGGTCACACGGCCGAGCACCCTGGAGTTCGCAAAGCCCTGCAAAGACTTGGTTCCCTCTTCTTGCTGCTGAGGCCGCGGCTGTTTTCCCATCCCCAGGATGGGGGAAACCGAGTCTCCAGAGATCAGAGGAACTCACAAGCTTATGCGGTGGGCCAAGGGGCCGAGTGGACGTGGGACCCAGCTTGTCTGCTCTCCCGCCTCTGGGCCCGGGGGGTGGGGTGCTAGACTGACAGGCCACCTGCTCCCCTGCAGAGGCCACGGGGCCACATGGCCCCAGGGCAGCTCCTCAGGGTTCCTCAAGGACAGGCACGGAGGGGAGGGCTGGGGCATGGGATCAAGTGTAACCCAGCCCCCTGACCTTTCCCTCCGCCTGCGCCCGCAGCAGCTGCCACTTCCACAGGACCTGGCGGAGGACGACGGGGACGCGTTTATTTATATTTCCCCAGCCGGGGCCAAGAGAGCCCAGGCAAACACGTTGGGCCGGAACCCCGGGAGGGAGAGGGCGGGTCTCCCATCTGGGCCTGCTGAGGGGTAGGTATGTGGGGTGGTGGTGGGGGGGGGGCGACGAAGGCCCGGGTTTTTCTGCAACACAGGGCACGTTAGTTCACGCAGATAATGAAAAATGGTGCCATTCGTTGGGTGGGGTTGGGGGGGGGGGGGGGGGGGGGGGGCGACGAAGGCCCGGGGTGGGGTACGAACCTCAGCGAGGTTGACATTTACAGACTCAACACGTAAATAAGGAGGGCGCTTGGAGCTGGCTGGGGGGTTGGGGTCCTACTTAACTCCACTGGTGGCAGAAGCGGGAGCTTGGGTGGAGGGGTCACCCGGCCCTTCCCAAAAGCTGCTCTCGAAGGAGTGCTGGACTGAGCTGTCCAGAAGCCCTGCCAAGAACATGCTGTGTGGTCTCCGCCATCCCCTCTGCTCTCTGGGCCTCAGTTTCTTTAGCTGCTGCGTGAAGGGCTGGGGTGAACGTCCTAGCATTGCTGGCTAGGGTCCCTGGGGTGGGAGTGGATGGGCATGAGCTTCCTTCTGGTTCTGGTTCTGGTCCCGGGAACCCCAGACTGAGGGTGCCAGGCACAGGGAGATTCACTTTAGACCCCGCCATGCCTCGGAGACCACATGGACCAGACCCAGCTGAAAGCCCCCTCCCACCCCCACGCCGACACCCCTCTACCTGGAGAGAGCACCTCTGAGCATGCGCCAACCAAGACCCCCAAGATTCGCCCCAAGCACAGACCTCCTTCCGGAAGAGCCCCAGCCCGACAGCCAGAGAGGCAGGGGAAGGGGCACCAGGAGAAAGTGTGTGTGGGGGGGGTATAGAACTCCCGAGTCCGCCGCCCTGGGGTCCCTGTCGCCCCGGGGGTCCCTGTCACCGTGGCCCAAAGTCCCCCCCCATCCCAGTCCCCTCCCCGGAGCCACTCACTCACATCCTCTCATCTGCGTCTCCCCCTCCGCCAAGTTTTCCGGAAACATACGGCTTGGAGGATGCTCCAGGGATCGGAGCTGGGAGCAGCGGGCTGGGAGGCGGGAGGCTGGGCGGCCCTGGTGCCGGCTCCGCAAGGCTTCTGGCTGGCGTCTGCTGGCGGCTCAGCTCGGCCTCACATCCTTCTCGTCCAACGGCGCGAGGGAGGGAGGGAGGGAGGAGGGAGGGGCCGGGCGGTGGGAGGGCGGCAGGCGGAGGCTGGCTCCGAGGAGGGCGGGGAAGCGGCTCCGTGCCGCGCGCCGTGGTGGCCCAGGGCTCCTCCGGCGCTGCCACCCCTGAGCCGTCCCCCCGCCCCCCCGCAGCTGCGGGTGTGCCAGGTGCCCTTCGCCGATGCGGGCGGGCGGCGGGAAGGTGTCGGCTGTGCCAGGCGTCACCAGGGAGCACAGTGTCAGCGGCTCCTCTGGGCACCAATGTGCCCAGCGCGGGCGCTCAGCCCCCGGACCCCCGACGCCCCCGCGGGGCACAATCCAAAGACCCCAGAGCCTCTCGGGCAGCAGCGCCCGGCAGCCTCGCTACGCGCCAGGGCTCGTCCGATCTTCCTGCTGCCTGACCCAGCGAGACGCGTCAGGGCTGAATGTGACCTCCAGACGGAGGCTCGCGGGAGGGGCGGGGGAGTGTGGCAGAAGCCCAGGTTCGGAAGGGGCGGGCCAACTTGGCACTGGCTTCCCCCTCCCTCTCTCCCCATCCGTGGCGGTGGCGGCGTCAGCAGCGGTAAGAACAGACGAGGGTTCAGAACAACACAGCTTCTCCACCCCGGCAGCCGGGAGCAAGCAGCTTCCGCGGTCGTTCCCCTGCGCTGGCTCCACCTGTGGTCCGCCCCCCTCCCAGCCTGATGCTGCCATGGTGGCCAGGCCCTCCGTGGGGGGCTCTGGAGGTCTGGATGGGCTGGAAGGCGGCAGTGGGCGGGCAGGGCTCGCCTAGCATTCTAGGAGGAAGCTTAGAACTTGAGGGGACTCTTCCAAGTGCAAATGAGACCTCCAACCCCTGAGGATGGGGGGAAGGGTCTGGAGCCCGTCAGAGGGCTCTCTGCTCCCCGAGGGTCTTGGGACTACTGCGGCCTCTTTTTTCCCTCTCTGAGATACCCGTGACGTGACGACTGGGTCAGCCCGCGCCCCATACGAACACCTGCTATGGACGCCCCAGGCAGCTCCCAGGAGGTTGAAAGTTAACTGAGTTGAACTTTGGAGCGAGATCCAGGTCACGACCGATTTCTCCAACTCCGGGGTCACTGACCTGCTTGTCCCTTCAGCCCTCAGCCTTTCCATCCTGCCCAAGAAACCCAAGGAACGACAGGCCACAGGTCTCTGAAGCACCCCGATACCCCTGCTTTGCCCCCAACCCTCGCCCTGGGCCCTGGGGCACACCCGCCAGGGCAGGCAACAGATCCCAACCACATCAGGGATCCGGGACGTCCTGCCGGAGTCCCACGATCCGTTCTCTGCAAGGGAGGCCCAAGACGGCTTTTAAGGATGCCAATCCAGTCGTGTCACTCCTCTGCTTCAAATCTTCCCATGATCACCCAAACCTCTTGGAATAAAATCCAAAGGCCTCAGCGTGGTGCATGAGGCTCTGCAGAGCCAGTCCTGCCCCGCTGTCCAGCCTGCTTCCTACCTCTCCCCTCGCTCCAGCCACTGGGACCTTTTCTGCCCAGCCCTTGGATGTGCCCCGGGACATTTGCACTCACTGTCCCTGCTGCCTGCATGGCTTTTTCACAGCTCTCCTTCTGTCTTCCTTCAGTTCTCAGCTTCAAGTGATACCTCCTCAAGAGAAGCCTTCCCTGACCACTCTCTCCACAGTCGTCCTCCCAGCCACCCTGCCATCATGGGGTTTTGTTATCTCCAGAGCACTTATCACTCCCTGAAATTAGCTCCTTGGCTCCACTGCTTGTGGACAGCCGTGTCTCTGCACCCACAACTGCTAGGCGTGCAGGAGGCATCAGGCAAATGGACAAAACTCCAGACACCGTGGGTATCTGGGTTTGGGAGCCCTCTGGGCATTCCCCCCCAGGCATCTCTGCTGCCTCTCTGAGGCTCCCAATTAGGAGCTCCGAAGAGAG